CTGCCCTCCACACCACGGGGTCCTGTTCATCCACCCCTCCACGGGCACCCCTCCACCGTCTACTATTCATCCAACCCTCCACCACACCACGAGGTCTTGTTCATCCAGAGGCAATGCCACCGCTCACTGTTCATCCAAACCCCCCGCAACGCTCACTGTTCATCCCATTGATCGGCTTCAGTTAGCAGTAGTAGCCAAGGAATCGCTCGATCGGGTTCAGTTAACAGCCATCGATCGATCGCTCGGGTTCAGTAACGCGTAGCCTGCAGTGCAATCGCTCGGGTTTAGTTAGAGCCCAACGCCTCGCTCAGGTTCAGCTAGAGCCAACACCTCGCACACACGCGTGTACGTGTATGAGAGAAACGCGCATCGCTCGGCCCCCGACCTCCCACCGTAACCGGGAACTCCCCGAAATCCCCCCCCCCCTTGCTTCTACCACGGTTTTTTCCGTCATGGACGGCCCAAAGAATGTCATGCAGCTGTGTCTCCGGCCCGCCCAGGATGAAAAGCCCATTTTCTGTCATGATTTTTTGTCATAGAAGTAGGAGCCCGCCACATCTATGATGATACCGGGTTTTGTCACAATTATCATCATAGAAGTGTCATATGTACGACAAAATTTTTTTTTGTTCGGCCCAAAATGTCACGGATGTGTCTTTTTTTGTAGTGTATGATATGGCCATCATCATCTTGTGCCTTTTGATCTCCATCTCCAAAGCACCGTCATCATCACCGTCGTCACCGACTTGACACCTTGATCTCCATCGAAGCATCGTTGTCGTCTCGCCAACTATTTCTTCTACGATTATCGCTACCGCTTAGTGATAAAGTAAAGCAATTACATGGCGATTGCATTTCATCCAATAAAGCGACAACCATATGGCTCCTGCCAGTTGCCGATAACAGTGTTACAAAACATGATCATCTCATACAACAATTTATATAATCACGTGTTGACCATATCACATCACAACATGCCCTGCAAAAACAAGTTAGACGTCCTCTACTTTGTTGTTGCAAGTTTTACGTGGATGCTACGGCCTTCTAGCAAGAATCGTTCTTACCTATGCATCAAAACCACAACGTAGTATAGTGATTGCTTTTTGACCTTCAGAAAGAACGCTGTTCATTGAAACCGATTCAACTAAAGTTGGAGAAACACACCCACTAGCCACCTGTGTGTGAAGCACGTCGGTAGAACCAGTCTCGCGTAAGTGCACGCGTAATGTCGGTCTGAGCCGCTTCATCCAACAATACCGCTGAATCAAGAATCAACTAATGACGGCAAGCAATATATATATACCCACGCCCACAACTCCTTTGTGTTCTACTCGTGCATATAACATCTACGCATAGACCTGGCTCGGATGCCACTGTTGGGGAACGCAGTATTTCAAATTTTTTCCTACGATCACGCAAGATCTATCTAGAAGATGCATAGCAACAAGAGGGGAAGTGTGTCCACATACCCTCGTAGACCGAAAGCTGAAGCGTTAAGTAACGCGATTGATGTAGTCGAACGTCTTCGCGATCCAATCGATCAAGTACCGAACGCACGACACCTCCACGACCTGCACACGTTCAGCTCGGTGACGTCTCTCGTACTCTTGATCCAGCTGAGGCCAAGGGAGAGTTTCGTCAGCACGACGGCGTGATGACGCTGATGATGAAGTTACTGACGCAGGGCTTCGCCTAAGTACTACAACGATATGACCGAGGTGGAAATTTGTGGAGGGGGGCACCGCACACGGCTAAGACAACTGTCAACTTGTGTGTCTATGGAGTGCCCCCTTCCCCCGTATATAAAGGAGTGGAGGAGGGGAGGGTCGACCCTCTCTATGGCGCGCCCCAAGGGGGATTCCTACTCCTAGTAGGAGTAGGTTCCCTCCTTCCCTAGTTGGAGTAGGAGAAGAAGGAAAAAGGAGAAGGAGAGAAGGAAAGGGGGGCCGGCCCCCTCCCCAGATCGGATTGGGCTTGGGGGGCGCCCCCCCACTTGACCGCCTCCTTCTCTCTCCCACCATGGCCCATTAAGGCCCATTGACTCCCCGAGGGGTTCCGGTAAGCCCCCGGTACTCCGGTAATTGCCTGAACTTATCCGAAACCATTCCGGTGTCCAAACATAGCCTTCCAATATATCAATCATCATGTCTCGACCATTTCGAGACTCCTAGTCATGTCGGTGATCACATCAGGACTCCGAATTAACTTTGGTACATCAAATTACATAAACTCATAATACTGATCGTCATCGAACGTTAAGCGTGCGGACCCTACGGGTTCGAGAACTATGTAGACATGACTGAGACTCACTTCTAGTCAATAACAAATAGCGGAACCTGGATGCTCATATTGGTTCCTACATATTCTACGAAGATCTTTATCGGTCAAACCGCATAACAACATACGTTGTTCCCTTTGTCATCGGTATGTTACTTGCCCGAGATTCGATCATCGGTATCTCAATACCTAGTTCAATCTCGTTACCGGCAAGTCTCTTTACTCGTTCCATAATGCAACATCCCGCAACTAACTCATTAGTCACATTGCTTGCAAGGCTTATAGTGATGTGTATTACCGACAGGGCCCAGAGATACCTCTCCGACAATCGGAGTGACAAATCCTAATCTCGATCTATGCCAACTCAACAAACACCATCGGAGATACCTGTAGAGCATCTTTATAATCACCCAGTTAAGTTGTGACGTTTGATAGCACACAAGGTGTTCCTCCGGTATTCGGGAGTTGCATAATCTCATAGTCAGAGGAACATGTATAAGTCATGATGAAAGCGATAGCAATAAAACTAAACGATCATTTATGCTAAGCTAACAGATGGGTCTTGTCCATCACATCATTCTCTAATGATGTGATCCCGTTCATCAAATGACAACACATGTTTATGGTTAGGAAACTTAACCATCTTTGATTAACGAGCTAGTCAAGTAGAGGCATACTAGGGACACTCTATTTTGTCTATATATTCACACATGTACTAAGTTTCCGGTTAATACAATTCTATCATGAATAATAAACATTTATCATGATATAAGGAAATATAAATAACAACTTTATTATTGCCTCTAGGGCATATTTCCTTCAGCGCCATCTAGACCTAGTGTGCCTCCCCCCTTGGTGGCCACCGCCCCCACCCTAGGGGAAGCCCTAGGGCGACACCCCTCCTCCCTTCCCCCTATATATAGAGGCATAGAGGAAGGGCAGCCGCACCCTTTCATGCCACGGCGCTGCCCTTCCTCTCCCTCGTAGTTCCTCCCTCTCTCAGAGTGCTTAGTGAAGCTCTGCTGAGATTGCTCCACCGCCGCCACCGCCACGCCATCGTGCTGCTGAAGAACTCGAGCTACTACTTCACCATCGCTCGCGGATCGAGGAGGTGAAGGCGTCATCAAGCCGTACGTGTGTTGAACGCGGAGGTGTCGTCCGTTCGGTACTTGATCGGGAGTTCATGGACGGATCGTGATTGGATCGCGAAGACGTTCGACTACATCAACCGCGTTTCTTAACTCTTCCGCTTAGCGATCTACAAGGGGATGTAGATGCGATCTCTCCTCTCGTAGATGTTCATCTCCTAGATTGATCTTGGTGAGCGTAGGAAATTTTTTGTTTCCCATGCAATGTTCACCAACATATTTTGACTTGGAATTTAAATTTGAACTTGAACTCGGTCTGGATTAAAGTGAAGTTTAGCAATATTAATTGTGACATGGCACCATTAGGGGGACTGTAGCATGACACCGGGTGTGTTACAGGAGGGGGGAGGGGCGTCATGACCTCAAGCACTTCCTGGGAGCCGGAGACGTTGGGGACGGGCGTTGACGAGGCGTGCGTCGTGGTTGAGACTGACGGATCGACAAATGGGATAACCACGAGAGGGTTACCGACGCTTGCAACACCCAACACTAAGATCATCTCCTCCACCTGAGCGCATGATCTCTTGAGATACCACAACAACTGCCCATTGGCAGACATGGCATCTCACTCTGGTGGTTTGACAGCGGGCGTGGCGTCGTCACCGGTGGAATTGGAGGAACTGGGAGAAAAATTGGGGAAATTTTGAGGGCGAAGGGTGGTGCGTGACTCTGTATACCAGATGTTAGGTACCAGATATATCTATCACACGATCTATAGCACTCACACATGGATTCTTGTCTCAGTAGCGATTACAAGAGGAATGGATACACGAATGTTGAGGAAGGGGGTGGAGGTAGGAGAAGAACAGAGAGCAGCCGCCGCCGAGTTCGTGATCCACTAGATACCTCGCCTAAAGCCTCGATCCTGGTACTTGTAGCCGTCAGGGTTGTAGCTTTTGCAGTAGCAAGGCAGTCGGGCCTAGCCCATACCTATCGGCCTAGGATAGGAGGAATGTTGACAGATCTGGACCGTCGGTAAGTTTTATCGGACGACGACTCAAAATCAGGCACATCGCCAGGTGGGTAGGCCTAAACCATGGCTCCCGCCTGTAGTTTTTCTTCTTCTTCTTAAAGCACCCCTACACTGTTTACTTAAAATGCTCTAAATCTATGTGCTCGCGTCCCTTGATGTTCTACGTCTTCCATTGGCCCCCCTTGTATAAGTTTTCAGCCTGGGTCCTTGCTCTAAATTGCTGTGAGAAGGCGTAGTTAGTTGAGTTTTACTTTTGTTTAATTGATTTGATAACATTTAAATAAGTTTAACTTAAAAACAATAGAAATATAACTAATCTCGAACGGAGAGAGTAAGAATTGCAAGTGAGACCCAAAGCCCGAAACAAACAAACAAGATCTTGCCCGAAACAAACAAACAAGATCTTTGGTCAAATGCAGGACCAATACGTGAATACACTACTGTACGAAGGAGATATCTCAAAAATTGACCGCTCCACTCCTGTAGTCCTGTTTGTTGAAGTTGGAGGTCGAGGCTGCCGTCTCCCATCATCCACGCCGAGAGTCCAAGCTCCAAAACCAAACCAGAACCGGTTGATCCGTCAGTAGCCGCGGCCGCCGGCGATGGAGAAGGGCAAGGGCCTCGCCCGCCGCTGGGCAGTGGAGCTCCACGACGCATCTTCCTCCTCATCCTCGCCTGCCTTCCCCGATCCCCCCGGCTTCACCAGATCTGCCCCGGAAGCGGTACCCCGCCCCACCCCCCTGCCCTCTTTTCTGGAACTGTTCCTTCGCTCGCTCGGACAGTAGAATTTACGTGCTGTTTTTCTTGGCTCTCAGGACGACGCCGCCAGCGCGCGGCAGCGCAAGGAGACCGAAGCCGCCTGGAAGGGGCAGGTTCGCTCGATTCCCCGATGCTCGTCGTAGTAGTCTCCTAGCGAGATAGATCCAGGGATTAGATACTCCCGGAACTGTACCGATTCAGTGTGAATTGGCCAACTTGTCTAGGTCTAGCATAGAAGCAATTGAGGAGGAACCGGATCTCAGCGCTTCCTTCTGGGCTGATTCCCCGAGTTCACTTGCTTGATAATCTCTAGGTTTTGGGCAGTCCTAATTGAAGTTTATGCGGTCTTGCTCTGAGCAGAAAGCCTGGGAGGTGGCGCAGGCGCCCTTCAAGAACCTGATGATGATGGGTTTTATGATGTGGATGGCCGGGAGCACAGTGCACCTGTTCAGCATTGGCATCGTCTTCTCTGCTCTCTGGCAGCCCTTCAACGCACTCCGATCTGTCGGGAAAGGTACTGTCTTGAGTCAACTGAATTTTTAGTATGGGTTGCTTGTTCAGTTGAAGAGATTGCTAACTCTGCTACTTTAAGACCCTTTGTTCAGTCATTTCTGATTTATGTTCTTTGCCTTAGTATTGGTGTGTAGGTTAATGTTAGGAAGGCTATAGGGTAGTGCTTGTGATTGGTGAACAGTTATACCTGCTCTGGCTGGGTACAACAACAACAACAACAACAACAACAACAACAACAAAGCCTTTAGTCCCAAACAAATTGGGGTAGGCTAGAGGTGAAACCCATAAGATCTCGCAACCAACTCATGGCTCTGGCACATGGATAGCAAGCTTCCACGCACCCCTGTCCATAGCTAGCTCTTTGGTGATACTCCAATCCTTCAGGTCTCTCTTAACGGACTCCTCCCATGTCAAATTCGGTCTACCCCGCCCTCTCTTGACATTCTCCGCACGCTTTAGCCGTCCGCTATGCACTGGAGCTTCTGGAGGCCTGCGCTGAATATGCCCAAACCATCTCAGACGATGTTGGACAAGCTTCTCAATTGGTGCTACCCCAACTCTATCTCGTATATCATCATTCCGGACTCGATCCTTCCTCGTGTGGCCACACATCCATCTCAACATACGCATCTCCGCCACACCTAACTGTTGAACATGTCGCCTTTTAGTCGGCCAACACTCCGCGCCATACAACATTGCGGGTCGAACCGCCGTCTTGTAGAACTTGCCTTTTAGCTTTTGTGGCACTCTCTTGTCACAGAGAATGCCAAAAGCTTGCGCCACTTCATCCATCCGGCTTTGATTCGATGGTTCACATCTTCATCAATACCCCCATCCTCCTGCAACATTGACCCCAAATACTGAAAGGTGTCCTTCCGAGGTACCACCTGGCCATCAAGGCTAACCTCCTCCTCCTCACACCTAGTAGTACTGAAACCGCACATCATGTACTCGGTTTTAGTTCTACTAAGCCTAAACCCTTTCGATTCCAAGGTTTGTCTCCATAACTCTAACTTCCTATTTACCCCCGTCCGACTATCGTCAACTAGCACCACATCATCCGCAAAGAGCATACACCATGGGATATCTCCTTGTATATCCCTTGTGACCTCATCCATCACCAATGCAAAAAGATAAGGGCTCAAAGCTGACCCCTGATGCAGTCCTATCTTAATCTGGAAGTCATCGGTGTCGACATCACTTGTTCGAACACTTGTCACAACATTATCGTACATGTCCTTGATGAGGGTAATGTACTTTGCTGGGTCTTTGTGTTTCTCCAAGGCCCACCACATGACATTCCGCGGTATCTTATCAAAGGCCTTCTCCAAGTCAATGAACACCATATGCAAGTCCTTTTATGCTCCCTATATCTCTCCATAAGTTGTCGTACCAAGAAAATGGCTTCCATGGTCGACCTCCCAGGCATGAAACCAAACTGATTTTTGGTCACGCTTGTCATTCTTCTTAAGCGGTGCTCAATGACTCTCTCCCATAGCTTCATTGTATGGCTCATCAGCTTAATTCCACGGTAATTAGTACAACTCTGAACATCCCCCTTGTTCTTGATTGGTACTAATATACTCCGTCTCCATTCTTCTAGCATCTTGTTTGTCCGAAAAATGAGGTTGAAAAGCTTGGTTAGCCATACTATCGCTATGTCCCCGAGACCTTTCCACACCTCAATGGGGATACAATCAGGGCCCATCGCCTTGCCTCCTTTCATCCTTTTTAAAGCCTCCTTCACCTCAGACTCCTGGATTCGCCGCACAAAACGCATGCTGGTCTCATCAAAGGAGTCGTCCAGTTCAATGGTAGAACTCTCATTCTCCCCATTGAATAGCTTGTCGAAGTACTCCCGCCATCTATGCTTAATCTCCTCGTCCTTCACCAAGAGTTGGCCTGCTCCGTCCTTGATGCATTTGACTTGGCCAATATCCCTCGTCTTCCTCTCTCGGATCTTGGCCATCTTATAGATGTCCCTTTCACCTTCCTTCGTGCCTAACCGTTGGTAGAGGTCCTCATATGCTCGACCCCTTGCTTCACCAACAGCTCGCTTTGCGGCCTTCTTCGCCATCTTGTACTTCTCTATGTTGTCTGCACTCCTATCCAGGTATAGGCGTCTGAAGCAATCTTTCTCTTTAATCGCCTTCTGGACATCATCATTCCACCACCAGGTATCCTTATCTTCGCTTCTCCTTCCCCTGGACACTCCAAACTCCTCCGAGGCCACCTTACGAATGCAAGTCGCCATCTTCATCCACACATTGTCCGCATCCCCTCCTTCCTCCCAAGGGCCCTCCTTAATGACCCTCTCCTTGAACACCTGAGCTACCTCCCCCTTGAGCTTCCACCACTTCGTTCTAGCGACTTTGGCACGCTTATCCCGTTGGACACGAATTCGAAAGCGGAAGTCAGCAACCACCAGCTTATGCTGGGGTACAACACTCTCTCCAGGTATCACCTTACAGTCTAGGCACGCACGCCTATCTTCTCTTCTCGAGAGGATGAAATCAATCTGGCTAGAGTGTTGGTCACTATTAAAAGTCACCAGATGTGATTCTCTCTTTCTAAAGAGGGTGTTAGCTACAATCATGTTGTAGGCTAGAGCAAAACTTAAGACATCTTCTTGATTCTTGATGCCATAGCCAAAGCGCCCCCATGCGCCCCTTCAAAACCTGTGTTAGATGTACCCACGTGGCCATTGAGGTCTCCTCCTATGAAGAGCTTCTCACCAATCGGTACACTCCTAACCATGTCTTCCAGGCCTCCCCAGAACTCCCTCTTGGTGTTCTCATTGTGGCCTACTTGCGGGGCATATGCGCTGATAACATTGAGAACCAAGTCCTCAACTACCAGCTTGACCAGGATAACCCGGTCCCCACGTCTCTTGACGTCTACCACTCCATACTTGAGGCTCTTGTTGATCAAGATGCCTACGCCATTTCTGTTTGCAGCTGTCCCCGTGTACCACAACTTGAAGCCGGTATCCTCCACTTCCTTCGCCTTCTGTCCTCTCCATTTGGTTTCTTGGACGCAAAGGATATCAACACCTCTCCTCACCGCTGCATCAACTAGCTCTCGAAGCTTCCCTGTCAGAGACCCTATGTTCCAGCTACCTAAACGAATCCTCCTAGGCTCGGCTAGCTTCCTTACCCTTCGCACTCGTCGAGTCAAATGCGAAGACCCTTGCTCATTTTCCACTACATCCGGGCGCCGATGTAGCGCGCCACTAAGGATGCGACGACCTGATCCTCACTCACTTGCCACCGTATCCGGATCAAGATATGGCGCGCCACTTGGGGGGTGACGGCCCGGCCCTTGCCCATTTTCCACCACACCCGGGTTCCGATGTGGCGCGTCGCTGAGAGGGTTACGCCCCAACGAAAATCTTTTGGGTTTCATCTCCATAAGAGTGGCTGAGTTTTTATGTTGGCTCGCCAAGCCTATCACAACCCTCCTCCTTTACCCGGGCTTGGGACCGGCTATGTTGAGACAACATAGGCGGAGTTCTGCTCTGGCTGGGTACATATTTGATTTTCATGTTCTGATATACTCCCTCTATAAGATCTTATATTAGTTTACAGAGGGAGTATATTCGATTGGCCCTGATGCCTGATTGAGCAAGCTAATTTCTTCAACCGAAATTTTTCATCAACCAACTCCCGCAGCAACATGTGGTGTATCCTCTAGTTATTACAGCGCACTGGGCATAGATCATGAACAGCAGAGATAGTGTGCTGCTCTGTGTTGAAGTTGCTTCTCACACCTCTATTCTCTATCATCTTGCACCCTTCCTGTCTCATAGAGGTGTATCACACACCCTATTCTGGGAGAGAACATACACATGTTACTCTTGTGGAAGAAGAGCACTTAAAACACAACAATTATGCTTTTGGCCACCTTGGCCTTTTCTTGTTCTTGCTATTTATTCCCTCTAAACAAGTCGGTCACAAGGATGGATTTATACAGGACACACACAACATCTTTGATTCACTGCTTTCATGAACTCCCACATGTTCCATCTAAGTGCATGCGTTCTCCCAGTAGACTCATGGATGCACACTGTGCCATTGCATGCAAGCAGCTAATCTACTCAACGAGCGACTGTTACACCTGTAAGGAAGCTAAAAGTCTAGGGTGCTATGCTCACATGCATGCACATCTTGAGTCAAGTTAACTCCAACAGTCGATTGTCAATGCTGTTGATTTCTGTAGTTAAAGTGGGTGGTAACTGATGTTACTATGAACTCAGTAAAGCATTAACATATAGGCTAGACATGTATGCACGTAGATACCGGGATTGGGGTTGATGTTATCAATGATGGTCTGGGTCACTCGTTGGTCGGTCTAGGTTGGCCGTCAGGATGGAACCATGTCAGCGATCCAGGTCAATAGGGACAAGAAGAGGGGATAGGGAGAGATAATATTAGCCTTGTTGCAAGTGATGTGTGAGCAGTTCTGGCTTACAGTAGTAACACCAATGACTAGATGCGGTGGTAGTTAGTGATGGTGAAATGTAACGGTTCAGCTAATCTTAAGCGCCCTCTCATCCATCTCCACCTGGATCGGAGACCTGGTGCTGTCCCAGCATCGAATCTGGCATGAACCTGATTGTGGATCCAGACATTGACATTGGTCTTGGTAACTGTGGACTATGGTCGCTCATACATCAAGTCGTTCTCTTCTGTGGACAGCTTTAGCCGTTTGAATAATATTTGATATTGAAACACATTTTTTGACAGGGAGGATACATTTAATTATGTGTTGACCAAAACCATTTATTTGCTTATGTTTGCTCCATGGTAAAATTGAACGCAGATTTCGAAGTTATCATTGAAACTGGATAACCATCCTGGTTTCTCTTGATATAATAAGTGGAAAGAACTTCTCAAAAAAAAGTGGAAAGAACAATTTTTGTTTTGTAACACTGCATGACTCACCCAGTCTGATTCTCTTGGGTACAAGAAATATATGCTTCTATTGTCTATTACCATATTCCAGAGATGTGCTAATGAGCCTTTTGGGCATGATGTACCAAAATATGATTACCTCATTGTCCACATGATTCAGGATTGTGTTAATGAGCTGTTTCTTTTCTTTTTTAAATTTTAATTATGCATCTTTGCAGTTTTTGAACCATTTAAGGACCCAAGGGTGGATACACTTGCACCTAAGTTGCTCTTCACTGCTCTCAACTTGGCCGCTATGGGTTTGGGTGTTTGGAAGGTTAGTATAATAACAGGTTAAGCCAGAATCTGCATATATTTCTGTAAGCACTTCAGACACGTGATTATTTTGTTCTACAGCTCAATACATTGGGTCTTCTTCCAACAAATGCATCAGACTGGGTATCTTCACTGTCTCCTGCTCGGGTATGTTGCTAATACCACCTAAATTATTTGTTGTTTCTCAGTGCCATATTCTCATTGTTTTTGACTTGTGACTAATTGGCATGAGAAAATAGAGGAGCTTGCCTAATGTAAGGAAATGTAATCAAATCCCTAAACAAATTATCCAAACGAGTGGTGCAACGCAATACACCTTATATTTCGGGTTTTTTCTCAAAAATCTATACACCTTATATCAAGGAACGGGGTACTTTTTTCATTGGCTTTTGGCTGGTGCTCACTAGTGTTTTAAAACTATTCTCTGATAGTAGCTTGTATTGGTCTCAGTTATGTATGTATGATAACCAGATGGAATATCGTTTATCTATTCAGGGCGCTGCACCCTTGCTATTGTTAGATATTCCTATCAACCAACCATCCCAAAAGACCGATCTGATAGGAAGAGGAGATACAGAATAGCAACACCCCCCCTCATCTTCACATCTGACGTGGATATGGAATAATCAACACCTCCCCTCACGCCTTGGGTGAGGATAAATGATTGGGAGAAATGCGGGGACTGAGACTTGAAGGGGGGTGTTGTATCTCCCACCCAAGTCAGGTGTGAGGGGAGGTGTTGGTCATTCCATATCCACGTCAGATGTGAAGGGAGGGGGGGGGGTGTTGTGTCCTCTTCCTAACAGATCGGTCTTTTGGATAGATGGTAAGATGACTATATCTTAACAACTATGGGGCTTGTGAACTGGGTTAAAACATCTATCTCAACTAATCTCAGTAGAACATACTTTGTCAAACAACAGTGAGATTCTGTTTACCACATTATTAGGCGGTCTAATGAGGCTGGTTGAACTGGTTTGGATTTTCCAGTCGGGTTGATTTTGGTGGTTTGGAATTGGTTGAAGAAGATACCAGTTTGGCTTTGGGCATGGTGTACTGAAAAACAATCAAAATCGAGTTGGGTTGTGTTGAGAATTTTTGGGTTGAGAACGGTTTCAAGTTCAACCCATGGGTGGAATCTGTTTGTTCCTGTGGCTTTGAGCAGCCCACACGTTTGCCTCCTTGCCTGTGGTCGAGTGTTAGCTGCCATGGCATCTGTCCTCCTCCAGCCTGGGCCTTCTCCATATATTGACATCAAGCTTACCTGAATCCTTTATGCTTACGAAACAACATTAAAGATTTCTTTCAGAACTTCCTTATCTGTGAAATAATGATCATTCCCAGTAAACCATGCTACAGGGCACTGGTAGATCTTTGCGCTTCTGTTGATAACTATGTTGAATAAACATTTTCTTAAACTACATGTGCAAGATAGACACTACTACTGCCTTTGGCCCAGCAAAATTAATCACAAATGCATCAAAACATCTTGTGACCGGCTGCAGTAGTCTATGGCTCGTATCATTTCCTGTTTTACATGATAAAAATCGAAGTTGAAGAAGTGTAGATGTTATTTGTGCATTTTGCCATCGCCTTGCACTTTCCTGACCAAAGCGCACGCTTAAGCGCAATTATGCGCACATTAAGCGCAATTGTGAGCTAGGTGTTCTGCTATGCCTAGAGCCTAGGCGCGGCACTTTTAACAATGGTAAAAATCCATGCTGCAATGTGGTCCCACTTGAGGTTTAATTATGGATTACCTGGATAATGATATCTGCATTGTAGTTGGCCCAACATGTCAACTAATTAGCCGAAATGTAGGTTCTATTATAACCCATAATGCGTATTGAAAAATCTCACGTTCACTGCTGTAACTTGTGCTAAATTTAATCAATTCCCACAAATTGTTAATACCTTTTTGCCTCTGGGTGCAACAAGATGCCTAGTCAATAACATGTTGATTTCCAATACTGTAATAGTATAGTTTGTATGGATTTGTGAATGTGTATCTGCATATGTAGGTTGCTTGAACTGATTGAATTATTTTTCTCAATGGCAGGAGGTTGAATATGCTGGTGGAGGGATCCCCTTGATGTAATGCCCCTTACGATCTTCAATTGGTAAAACTCTTTAGTTTTAGTACTTGGAGGATGGTATCTGTACTAAAGCGAAATTTACCCTGCTGAAGGGAGAGATTTTATGCGGGTTTGTTGTATTTTTTGTTTCACATGTACCAAATTCGGATTGATATCTATAGACAAATCACAGGCTTAGCTAAAGATAGCTTGCTCATTTTTTTTATCTTTTCTGCTTACCATGTCTGATTCAATAGAGAAGTTGTTGCTAACTCTCCCATTCAATGTAGTGGACGAACTTCTTTGTTTTGTTCAATTAATAGCTGTGAGATTTGTTGTTGGGTTTAGCTGGTTGAATTGACATTTGAACTTATGGTTTATTCTGCATGCAAGAGTGTGGTGTTTTTGAGTGGCTACCCTCCACTGTACTCTATACACAAGATGGTCAGAAAAGGAAAAAAAAAAACTCCAGTCAACATTCCTAAATTCTGAGTTGTGCAGCTGCATGATTTGGGCGTGGCGAGCGCACACCTTGCGCTGCTGTGTCTCATCCTCCTAAGACAAAAACAATTATGTGCCAAATTATTTGCTTCCCTGCAGCAATGTTGAAAACTTATCTGTGACATGCCATCTGCAAGCTGAAAACAGTCTGCTATGATCGCTGAGTATGGTGCTCTTATATCTGTTTCACCTTTGCACGCTTCAATTATCTCCAGGCAGTCCGATTCCATAATAACTCTAGAAAATCCCAGTTAGTGAACCAGAGCGAGATCACGCAGTAAAGCAAGGGCTTCCGCGGGGCTGCATCATGTGTGTGCACCAAGTTCTCAGTTTTTTTTTTTGGAGCGAAACCAAGTTCTCAGCTACACCCGACACAGCTGGTCCTCGTGCATCACGTGTGATCGCTGCAGATGAGCAAACAACATGAATTGGACTAGGAAGTTGCCCTTTTCCTCTAGTTAGGGTTTATATGTCCTCTCGTCGCTTCCGGCGGCGTTGAGAAAACTTGTACTCCGCCATCGCTGATCGGGACCGGTAGACTCGGGTTAACTATGGGGCGGTCGTTGAGACTGCTTCCCAGCCTTGGCTGAGGGATGCGACCTAGCTCGTGGGGTGAGGAAGATCGGATCAGGAGCTCTGGACATGGCGAATCAAGGCGAAGGGTCTACGTCGGGAAGTAAGGGGAAGATCGAGGACCTGATGAAAGAGTTGGCCTTGAACGAGGAGGACCTCGACGACGTGGTGTTCGATGAAGAGAACGCCCCGACGGCGAAAAAACTCAGGTGGATGATCCTTGTTCGGGTGCATATGGATAAAGAGTTCGGTAATTACTGGTTCTTTCGCAATATGCGCTCTGCGTGGGATTTGACGAGGCCAGTAAAGATCAAAACCCTTGAGGATAACTTATTCCTCATGCAGTTCAACTGCCTAGGCGATTGGGAGACGGTCACACATGGAGGGCCATGGCACTTCAGGGGGAATCCGGTGGTTATAGCTCCCTATGATGGATTCTCTAAGCCGATATCCATTGAGTTCAACACAATTGATATTTGGGCAAGGATCATGACCTCCCAATAGGTTATCATGGTATGGTGAAGGCTTTGGCGTCCAAGATTGCAGAATTTGTAGATGTAGAGCCGTCCTCATTTGATCTTGAGGGTAATTTTTACAGAGTTAGGCTCAGGCTCGAAGTCCGTAAACCATTGAAGAAAGCAACTTCGCTGGTTAGAGGTGGGCAACGAGAAATATTTGCAGTGACGTATGAAAGGCTGCCGGATTGGTGCTAGGTATGTGGTATGATGGGGCATCAATTTAAGGAGCACAGCGACGGGATGCATACCCCCTCGGTGTTAGTGTTCAAAAATCTGAGAGCTCCAACAGTACTCGTTGGGGAAGGAGACGCCGGAACATCCAGCAGTCATGGACCCCAGGACAAGATCCTCAGCATGATGGCGGAGATGAAATCGAGAAGGGAAGAAGGCCCAAGCGGATGATGAGATGGACGAGGCAGATCTGAACCAAAAACGCCCTTCGGAACAGTTTTTTGAGCCTCCTGCTAATGGGACAGACATGGGCATGGAGATAATACAGGTAACTGGAGGCAAAGGGGGCGCTGCTGTTCCTCCTAACCCGCCTCCAAAGCAGGACCCGAAGAGGAGTAAGTCAGCTCAAGGCTCAGCTATTCTATCATACAAGTCAAATGCTAAGAAGTTTTCAGTTTCCGGCAAACCAAATGACGCAAGATCGGCGGCCTCCTCGGCGGAGTATGCTGGAACTGTCGAGGTATAGGCAACGCCCCAACAGTTCAAGAGCTACGCGAGATCGTGACTAAGTTTGCCCCTAAAGTGCTTTGTATTGTGGAGACTCAAATTGATAGAGTTAGAGCTGAAAATCTATTTAGCACTCTAGGTTATGATTGCTCTTTTGATGTGGACGCCACCTACAGCTCCAGGCAGCGAAGAGCCGACATCGAGGTGCCAAACCTTCCCGTCGATGTGGACTCTTGGGGAAGATCGGCCAATTATCCCTAGAGTAACTTTTATCCGTTGAGCGACGACCCTTCCACTCGGCACTGTCGGATCACTAAGGCCGGCTTTCGTCTCTGCTCAACGGGTGAGTCTTGCAGTCAAGCTCCCTTATGCCTTTGCACTCAAGGACCAATGTCCGTCTGACCCGAGGAAACCTTCGCACGCCTCCGTTACCTTTTGGGAGGCCTACGCCCCACAGAAACTGTCTACCTGAGACTGTCCCTTGGCCCACGGGTCTGACACAAGGTTAGAATCCGAGCTCTTCTAGAGTGGTATCTCACTGATGGCTCGCCACCCCCGGAAGGGGGCCTTCTTCGCCTTCCACCTAAGCTGCGCAGGAAAGGCCCAAAGCCAATCTAGGGAATAGTAAAGCTTCATAGGGTCTTTCTGTCCAGGTGCAGGTAGTCCGCATCTTCATAAACATGTCTATTTCACGGAGCCTCTCTCCGAGACAGTGCCCAGATCGTTATGCCTTTCATGCGGGTCGGAACTTACCCGACAAGGAATTTTGCTACCTTAGGACCATTATAGTTACGGCCGCCGTTCACCAGGGCTTCGGTCGTCGACTTCCCTGTCATCAGTTCACCAACTTCCTTGACCTTCTAGCACTGGGCAAGCATCATCCCCCATACATTGTCTTACGACTTTGCGGAGACCTGTGTTTTTGGTAAACAGTCACCCGGGCCTTTTGTGAGGGGCACCCCTTCTCCCGAAGTTACGGGGCTATTTTGCCGAGTTCCTTAGAGAGAGTTGTCTAGCGCCCCTAGGTATTCTCCACCTACCCACCTGTGTTAGTTTCGGGTACATTGTAACGCCCTCGATGCGGCTATATCTCCCACGTGTCGAAGCACGACTTAGAGGCATAACCGCATTGAAAGCAATGTCGCAAGTGAGGTAATCTTCACACAACCCATGTAATACATAAGGGAAAGAAAAACATAGTTGGCTTACAATCGCCACTTCACACAATACATGAATAAAGTATTACATCATCCAAATACAATCAAGGCCCGACTACGGAGCCAAAATAAAAGAAGACTACCCCAAATGCTACACAGATCCCCGATCGTCCCGACTGGGCTCCACTACTGATCAACTAGAACGAAACAACAGAAAGGACAAGATCTTCATCGAGCTCCTCCTTGAGCTTGGTTGCGTCACCTGCACGGTTCAACGGCACCTGCAAACTGGTTTTGGAAGTATCTGTTAGTCATGGGGACTCAGCAATCTCACACCCTCGCGATCAAGACTATTTAAGCTTATAGGTAAGGTAAAGGTATGAGGTGGAGCTGCAACAAGCAACTAGCATATATGGTGGCTAACATACACAAATGAGAGCGAGAAGAGAAGGAAAAAGCACGGTCGAACAACTATGATCAAGAAGTGATCCTAGAACAACCTATGTCAAGCATTACTCCAACACCGTGTTCACTTCCCGGACTCCGCCGGAAAGAGACCATCACGCTTACACACGCGGTTGATGTATTTTAATTAAGATCAACTTCAGGTTTTCTACAACCGGACGTTAACAAATTCCCATCCGCCCATAACCGCGGGCACGGCTTTCGAAAGTTCAAAACCCTGCAGGGGTGTCCCAACTTAGCCCATCACAAGCTCTCACGGTCAACGAAGGATATTCCTTCTCCCGAGACATTCCGATTAGACTCGGCATCCCGGTTTCACAAGACATCCTCGACAATGGTAAAACAAGTCCAGCAAGACCACCCGCTGTGCCGACAAATCCTGATAGGAGCTGCACATATCTCGTTCTCAGGGAACACCGGATAAGCTAAGCGTATGGGAGCCAACGTAACCCAAGTTGCCAAGGGACGGCCCCGCACAGTGCTCTGGGTTGGACCAACACTTAGAGAAGCACTGGCCCGGGGGGGGGGGTGGTTAAAATAAAGATGACCCTTGGGCTAGCCGACCCAAGGGAAAGAAAAAGGCTAGGTGGAAAATGGTAAAACCAATGTTGGGCCTTGCTGGAGGAGTTTTATTCAAGGCGAACTGTCAAGGGGTTCCCATTATAACCCAACCGCGTAAGGAACGCAAAATCCGGGAACATAACACCGATATAACGGAAACTAGGGCGGCAAGAGTGGAACAGAACACCAGGCATAAGGCCGAGCCTTCCACCCTTTACCAAGTATATAGATGCATTAATTAAATAAGATATATTGTGATATCCCACAAAATAACCATGTTCCAACATGGAACAAGCTCCAATCTTCACCTGCAACTAACGACGCTATAAGAGGGGCTGAGCAAAGCGGTGACATGGCCAAACAACGATTTACTAGGACAAGGTGGGTTAGAGGCTTGGTTCAACAATATGGGAGGCATGATAAGCAAGTGGTAGGTATCACAGCATAGGCATAGCAAAAGAGCGAGCATCTAGCAAGCAAAGATAGAAGTGATTTCGAGGGTATGGTCATCTTGCCTGAAATCCTGCAAGGAAGAAGAACGAGTCCATGAAGAAGATAAACAGACGTAGTCGAACGGATCCTCACAAACGCAATGTTACCGGATTACAAAGAAGAAGTACACCGGAAAGAAAGCAAATAACATAGTGAACAATCATCA